GATAGATAGATAGATAGATAGATAGATAGATAGATAGATAGATAGATTGATAGACAGATAGATGGCTTGCTCTATCATGGAAGGCTTGTAGAATACAAGAGGAACATTAAAGGAACCAGCAATAATTGGCATCATTACACACAACTACATAGAAGTCTTTTATATATTTAAATGGATATTTATTTACATTTCAAATGTTATTCCCCTTTCCTGGTTTCCCCTCTGCAAATGCCCCATCCAATCCCCCCTTACCCTGCTTCTATGAGGGTGCTCCTCCACCCACCTACCCAATCCTGCCTGCCTCACTGCCCTAGCATTCCTCTACACTGGGGCATCAAGCCTTCAAAGCACCAAGGGACTCCCCTCCCATTGATGTCAGATAAGGCCCCTTCAACTCCTTCAGTCCTTCCCCTAACTCTTCCATTGGGGTCCCTGTGCTCAGTCTGATGGTTGGCTACAAGCACTTGCATCTGTATTGGTCAGGATCTGGAAGAGCCTCTTAGGAGACAACTGTATCAAGATCCTGTCAGCAAGCACTTCTTGGCATCTACAATAGTGCCTGGGTTTGGTGTCTGCATGTGGGATGGATCCCCAGGTGGGGCAGTCTCTGGATAGTCTTCCCTTCAGTCTCTGCTCCACTCTTTGTCCCTGTATTTCTTTTAGACAAAAGCAATTCTGGGTTAAAATTTTGGAGATGAATAGGTAGTCCCATCCCTCAACTGGGGGGCCATGCCTAACCCCTAGATACGGTCTCAACAGGTTCTCCCTCCCCTTTGTGAGGCATTTCAGCTAATGTCATCCCAGTGGGGTCCTGGGAGGCTCTTGCTTTCCTGGCATCTGGGACTTTCTGGTTGCTACCCCCAGTTCCCCATCCCCCATTGCTACACAACTCTGTTCAATTTCCTGACCCTCTGTATATCTCCTCCATCTCTTCCCATAGCTGATTCTTCCCCTCTTCCCGCCCCCTCTTCTCTTCCTCCCAAGTCCTTCCCACCCTCTACTTCCCTTGATTATTTTGTTCCCCCTTCTAAGTAGCACTGAAGCATCCACAATTTGGTCTTCCTTCCTCTTTAGCTTCATGTGATCTGTGAGTTGTATTGTGGGTATTCTATGCTCTTTGTCTAATATCCACTTATCAGTGAGTACATACCATGTGTGTTCTTTTGTGACTAAATTACCTCACTCAGGATGATATTTTCTAGATCCATCCATTTGCCTGTGAATTTCATGAAATCATTGTTTTTAATAGCTGAGTAGTACTCCATTGTGTAAATGTACCACATTTTCTGTATCCATTCCTCTATTGAAGAACATCTGGATTCTTTCCAGCTTCTGGTTATTATAAATAAGGCTGCTATGAACATAGTGAAGCATGTGTCCTTATTACATGTTAGAGCATCTTCTGAGTATATGCCCAGGAGTGGTATAGCTAGGTCCTCAGGTAGTATTATGTCCAATTTCTGAGGAACCACCAGACTGATTTCCAGAGTGGTTGTACCAGCTTGCAATCCCACCAACAATGGAGGAGTGTTCCTCTTTCTCCACATCCTCTACAGCATCTGCTATCACCTGAGTTTTTGATCTTAGCCATTCTGACTGGTGTGAGGTAGAATCTCAGGGTCGTTTTGCATTTCCCTGATGACTAAGGTTGTTGAACATTTCTTTAGGTGCTTTCCTCAATTGAGAATTCTCTGTTTAGCTCTGTTCCCCACTTTTTAATAGGACTATTTGGTTATCTGGAGTCTAACTTCTTGAGTTCTTTGTATACATTGAATATCAGCCCTCTATTAGATGTAGAGTTGGTACAGATCTTTTCCCAATCTGTTGGTTGCCATTTTGTCCTATTGACAGTGCCCTTTGCCTTAAAGAAGCTTTGCAATTTTATGAGGTCTCATTTGTTGATTCTTGATCTTAGAGCATAAGCCATTGGTGTTCTGTTCAGGAAAATTTTCCCTGTGCCCATGTGTTCAAGGCTTTTCCCCATTTCTCTTCTATTAGATTCAGTGTATCTGGTTTTATGTGAAGGTCCTTGATCCACTTGGACTTGAGCTTTGTACAGGGAGATAAGAATGAATCAATTTGCATTTTTCTACATGCTGACCTCCAGTTGAACCAGCACCATTTGTTGAAAATGTTGTCTTTTTTCCACTGGATGGTTTTAGCTCCTTTGTCAAAGATTAAGTGACTATAGGTGTGTGGGTTCATTTCTGGGTCTTCAATTCTATTCCATCTATCTACCTGCCTGTCACTGTACCAATACCATTCAGTTTTAGTCACTATTGCTCTGTAATACAGCCTGAAGTCAAGGATGGTGATTCCCCCAGAAGTTCTTTTATTGTTGAGAATAGTTTTCGATATCCTGGGTTTTTTGTTATTCCAAAAGAATTTGAGAATTGCTCTTTCTATCTCTATGAAGAATTTACTTGGAATTTTGATGGGGATTGCATTGAATCTGTACATTGCTTTCAGCAAGATGGCCATTTTTACTATATGAATCCTGCCAATCCATGAGCATGGGAGATCTTTCCATCTTCTGATGTTTTCTTCGATTTCTTTCTTCAGAGACTTGAAGTTCTTGTCATACAGATCTTTCACTTGTTTCATTAGAGTTACACCAAGATAGTTTGTAGTATTTGTGACTATTGTGAAGGTGCTTTTTTCCTAATTTCTTTCTCAGCCCACTTATCCTTTGAGTATAGGAAGACTCCTGATTTGTTTGAGTTCATTTTATTTCCAGCCACTTTGCTGAAG